AAAAAAAAAAAAAAAGTTCTAGATTAGGTGCATTTTCCTGAAGACAGAATGTAGTCTTAACTATCGTCACTGTCCCCGGGACATAATGTACAGAGGAGATACTTTTCTAACTGGCCGGAGGAGAAACCTCCAGACACACCATTCTCAGTGAGTCGGCGTGGGTCTTTGTGGAAGCCGAGCACTAGGGCACCAGTAACAAGCTCCAAGAGTCATCCAAGTGGCTTTTCTCACAATGGTGATTGTTTATCTTAGCAATTCTAGGTAGCAAAGGTTTGGGTGTGCACAGTATCTCAGTTACTGTCTAGGAATCCTAATGCATCAGAATATGTTGGTGACTCATGATAAGTATAATACGGTATATGTTCAATTCAGCTTTAGAAAGGTATTCAAAAGGCAAGGGCTATTAAGTTCTAGAGAAATTAGATCAGTGCTTAAATGTTTTCTTAGTCTCTGATAAAAAGTTTCGACCAGAAATCAAAATTGAGTACAATGGAGGCAGATACTAGATTTTCACCAACAGAGCTCAATTATTGCAATACAGTATTTTTTTCCAACATACTTTGTTTGAAGTGGGGGGGGGGGTCCTGAATAAAATTAGTATAGAAACTAATTTGGAAAATGTTTAATGAATATAAATTATACCATTTTTTAGTTTGTATGGGGACACACAGAAATAGACACTTTGTATCCTCTACGAATTTTTATTTGAATAACAGTCGCCGTCCCAAAAGCCCGGAGAATAAGAACACCTCCTGTTGGCTGGGGAGTAGCAGCCAACATGAAGGCGCCACGGAAGGTCCCATGGCTGTGCGCGGAAGGTCCCATGCGTGTGCGCGGAAGGTCCCATGGCTGTGCGCGGAAGGTCCCATGGGAGTGCGCGGAAGGTCCCATGGGTGTGCGCGGAAGGTCCCATGGGTGTGCGCGGAAGGTCCCATGGGTGTGCGCGGAAGGTCCCAAGGCTGTGCGCGGAAGGTCCCATGGGTGTGCGCGGAAGGTCCCATGGGTGTGCGCGGAAGGTCCCATGGTTGTGCGCCGAAGGTCCCATGGCTGTGCGGCTTCCGAGCCACGCAGCCCCTGCCCGTGTCCTTCCTGCTGCGCTGACTGCTTCTCCTCCTCTCTCCACTAGGCTGTCCCGTCAGGGGCCACCCCACGCCCAACGTCACCTGGTTCCACAGCGGTCGGCCGATTGGCAGCGCCACGGGACTGTCGTATCACATCCTAGCGGCCGGGCAGATCCTGCACGTGGCAAATCTCAGCGCCGGGGCCCACGGCGAATTCAGCTGCCTCGCTCAGAACGAAGCCGGGCAGCTCACCCAGAAGGCGTCGCTCGTGATCCGAGGTAAGGAGCCCCGCAGGCCTCGCTGCTCGATTTAGCTCCCAAGCGCAGCACCTACCTGGGAATCTAATTCTAAGGTAAAGCAGAGATTTCTGATCTCCAGTGCTGTCTGGGATGGAGGGACCAGCGCCAGATCGTGCTCCAGGGGTGAGAGCCTTCTGCCCGCAGGCACTGCTCCCCGGGAGAGCGCCAGGCCCCACGCCGGCTGAGCCTAGAAAGTCAGGGTGACCTGAAACGGGTTCTTCTGCTCCTAATGCTGTGCTGTTCAGGGTCTAGTAACCACCACAGCTTAGCAGAGCTCAACTTTTCTTGCTGGTTTAACTACCACCGGATAGGTCATGGGCACACCCAGCTGCCTGATTTAAAGGACAAGTTTTCTTTGCCAGATCAGTTACAGCAAAAAAAAAAAAAAAAAAAAAGGAATGGAGGCACACACATGCAACACCAGCACTAGGGAAATCAGAGGGGAGCACTGTCAGGAGTTCAAGGCCAGCCAGAGCTCTGTCATGCGTTTAAGGCCAGCAAGAACTATACAGCGAGAGTCTCTCTCCAAAAAAAAAAAAAAAACCTACACAAAAATAAAGGAAAAAACCAGCCTGTTGATTTTAAGGTTTTGTGTTAAAGCTTCTGCCCTGCCTTCTTGCTGGGGGATGGGGCTGCTCTGGTGCGGCCTAGTGCCCTAAAGAATCCTAGCAGCAGGCGCGCCCTGAGGGCTTGCAGGCACCTTTCCTCTGGCCTGGGCAGGGCACAGCCCGAGAATATGTGCCTTCCACGAGCGCAGCAGGTCCGAAGGCCCAGGGCAGGGCCCGGCACGCGCTGCACCAAGAGGTCGGAAGGGCCCCACGCCGCGGGGAGAAAGCCAACCTGGCCCTTTTACTGAAACGGGGGACAGGATTCGCTTTTCCCGTAGGTCAGTGCGTCGCCCCTTGCG